GAAAGAGCCTACACGGATGTTCCATCTCACACAGGCCTATCTATTAGAGCTTTGAGAATTCAAGGATAAGATTTTGAGGGCTTTCAGACACACACACATTCTGACTGTGCTGCTAAGTAATAAAAAAATACTTTTTTTTAATACATATTGATCTTACCAGGTTTTCTGAAGTTAGTCTGCTAACTTCAAGTCGAATACCATCATTTATGTCATTTTCCTCTCGAAATAATTTTTGTAGATGACTAATATCTTGGCTAAGATGTTCAACTTTAAAATTCAGACCTTCAATTTCCTTTTCATAGATTTCTTTCTGAGACTGGAAGTGGCTTTCCAACACTCTGTTTAAAAAACAAAGGAGGGGCAGGTGGGAGAGAAAATTGCACACATAGCATCACTTTGATGCAACGGGTCAAACTCACTACAAAGTGAAAACAATTACATCATCTGTGCATTAAGGGAATTGGAAGTTAAACATCATATCTCAGATATCTGTTTATATTCTAGATTGCAGGTTGGAGCTATGAACACAAAGAACTGAGCTAACCTTGTTGCTTTTTTCAAGCCCTCATAAGCAAACCACAATTCTCCATCTTCATTTAAGTGTTCCAAATCCTCCGTAGAGAGTCTAGAGCAAAAGATAGTATCAACAGAGCATAAGTGCATAAAATACATCTCAAGTTTTTAGAGAAATCCTAAAACAAAATTACCTGCTTCTTACATCTTCAAAATCATAACTTTCAAGAAGCTGTTTCGTAACTTCTGACATCTTCTCTGGGGAAAAGGAAATATTTTTTATATGAATAATTTTCCCATATTCCATTTGGAATGTTATATCTTTCTGTTCTTGATCTGGAAAACTGCTAGAGTTATATAAATGTTCTGTTACTTCGTGCTAATTACTACATTAAGTGTTGCAGAAATAAGTTTATTCTATGACTTGCTTTGCAATGCAGTTAGTGTACTAAAGTACTTTTATCAAGAAATCTGGGTCTTTGCTATAGCTAAAAAATGTGGAGGAAAGTTGAGAGCAGCCTCTTTCATACTATGATTAGTAAGTTCGCTGAATTATCCTGTACTTAGCTTACCTCTCATTTCTCGCTTCTGAGACTGTGCCTGCTTTTCAACATCCATTTTTTGTGTCTGTAGTAGTTCAATTTCCTTTTGCAATTCAGGAATTGTCTAAGTAAGACAAAAAGTATAAAATGTAATTGACAAAGGGCTAAGTATCAGTCAAACCATAAAGAAAATTGTGAATAAGAACATGTTTATCTGGCAGAAGGCTTAAAACTTATTGGATTTAAAGCTTCTCACAGACATCTGAGCAAAACAGTAATATGATATAATGAATCCATACATTTTTCTGACTCACAGGAACATGACGTTACATGACTTTAATAAAACCAGTACTTTCAGCATCTGTTTCTAAATTATATTTATGAAAACATCCCCCTTGAGAAAACAAACAAACCCAAAAACCCAAAAGACTGGAAAAACAAAGTGAGAAAATAAAAATTCACATATCTAAATGCGCAAGTATTCAGGCACAATTACTCTTGAATGCTACTTATTTCTGTGAGCATTAAGGTACTCATACTGCATTCCACCTGAAAATAATTTAATACAGAGGAAAAAAAAGAAGGAAGAGAATGCGTAAATAAGACACTGACATTCTCTACTTGCTTTAGCTAGCAAAGATTTCGAAATGAGTTATCCTTTACCTGTGCCTGTTTTGTAAGTTGTCCTATTTCCATTTTCAAGCCATCCTGAATGATAATTTCTTGCTGAATTTGACACTGTAGCTGATTTTTTTCTTCCTTAAGAATCTTAATTTCTCCTTTGAGCATTTCAATTTCTTTTTCATAGTCCTGTTTCTGATTTTGGAAATTTTTCTCAAGTATCCTAAACATGACAAATTGAAGAGGTGGTTTCACTTTCATAAGTAATTTTCAGTTTAATTTGAAGGAAATATTTCAATCAAGAAAACGTTTTTTTTAAAAAAAAAAGAAAAAAAAAAAGCTTAAAACAGCTAAGCCACATCTTCAGTCAGTCATCTCCAAAATGGGTAAGAATGTCCCTGATCTCTTTACTTCTTATTCAGGCACTGGGATTGAATTTAAAGCAGAACTGAATTTTATCACTTAAAAGTTAGTTTTCTAGTTCTTTGAGAGCTAACATACCTTCAAACCACCAAAGACACATGAAAAGACAAGAAATTGCAAAATCAAGAACAGTCTCAAGTCTACACAATAGTTTCCAACATAATATGGCTGACTCACAGGCATGAGCTTTGCCTTGACTGTACAGGACGTACTTCAGTTACTGCTTCAGTACTAGCATTGCTGTCCAACAGTATCAACAGATTTGTAGTGATATGTGAGTACGATGTATTTACAGTAGGAGAAGGAAAGGCAGAGAAAGAGAAGAAAATGAGTGTTCTTTTAAGGCAATTAAATTCAGATTCCATACATTCTCTGTCTTTCTTTCCTTTGCACATCCTCAAAGAACTGCTTCATGAGGTCATCCATTTTGTCTGTCAAAAAAATATTTTTTATATTTGAGAGACCTTCATAATATTGCACATTTGTTAAAATGGCATGAACACTATGAGAAGTTTTTGTTTTAAGCAATCCTTAGCATTGTTAGACTGAAATTAATCTCTTAAATATCATTAATTTTCACAGTAATTCCAATAAGTAATCATACAGAATAAAAAATTTCTGAAACACCCAAGCATCATTTGTCTAAAGTATTTTGATCTAATGTGCTGCCTTGGCCCTTTGAACTTAGATTCTTAAAAGCAGGATATTAAATGAATCAAGGATGCAGGGAGGCTTTGAAGAATGCACATGCTGCCTTGGAGACAGAAAACATAATAAGAGGCCTCTTTTTTTTTTTAACTGAACTAATGAACTATTAAATTAGAAGAATTTGCCCTGCACGAGGTCTACCTTCAAATTATTGTAATTGAGCATTTATATTGTTTTTAATATAACAAGAATCATTCACACTTGCTGCAAAGATAGCTTTATAGATCCCTCCCCCCATAACTGCTTTCAAGCTCTTGTAAATTACTGTACCTTTCATTTCCTCAGCTTTTTCTTGGAGCTTTCTTTCTAAGGTCTCTTGCTGTTCTCGCAATTCTTTATTCTGAATTTCAAGTTTTAAGATTTTCTGTGCACATTAAAAAAAAAAAGGTGTAAGATGTATAAAGAAAGAAGAAACAGCTCACAGGTAGTGTCACACTGTGTAACGAGGACAGAGACTCCATCCTTCATCTCTCCCCCACAGCCCAAAAGTGTTCTTTAACTCTCAAAATCACACATTTGGCAAAGCATAAAGAGACTTTAAAACATGTTTTTAAAACAAGCAGCAAGATGATCTCGGAAAATTTACCTGTTCACTGTCCTCCTTATATTTCTTTCCTTTCTCCTCATATGTTCTCTTCTGCGCAGTTAACTTTTCAAGATCTAATTCAAGTTTCTGAATTGTATCCAAGTCATTCATACGAGTTGAAGACAGATTGGTTAACCTTTCCAGCAAGCCATGATTTTCTTTACTCTACAGTAAGCAACACGAGTTAAAATAAAATGGAAAAATGCACATGATTTTGCATTTTTATATTCCCCTAAAAAAATTACTGCAAAAAATCAGCTCCATCCTTCTCCTTCAGTCAAACAGCATTTTCTATGTCTTTTTTACTTACACTTTTGTATAGTTTAGTACTATCAAAAATTAAATTTTAAATATATCAGTAAATTGAAAATGTGCACACAGAACTCTTTGTGATTTACCAAAACAAACATCAAGCAACACCTGGACAATGCAAACTGTAGTTTGCCTCTCCACAGCTATGAGGAAGCACCTGAACTATTTCTGCTCCCTACTCCACCTAAATTATGATCACTTCGCAATTGAGGATTGATTCCGTTGGTTAGACTAAAGGTATCACATTAAAGACAATTTGGTCAGTATGGCTTTCCAAAACAATCCTTGAAATACAATACTGAATCCCCCAAAACTGACCAAATATACTGAACCAGAATTGTAACTGAACCATCCTTCATCCCAAGATTAATACCATCCAGACTTGGGATTGAGTAGTTATGAAACAGTAAAAAATGCCATCTGCAGACTCTTTTCATTGGCACAGCTAACCTGAAAATCCCAGTATCACATGTTTCAAAAACATAAAGAAATTACTGATTTGTTATAAGGGGACATAAACCTTATGTTTCTTGTCTTGTCAAATAAACTATGGATATTCTAAACATCTAGTCAATACAAGACATTTGAATAAAACTAACATGATAACAAATTAATAAAAAGAATCAACAGACTTGTGTCCTTCACCTGTTCCTCTATCTTTTTCTGCAGTCGCTGAACTCTGTATGAAAGCTGAATATTCAATACAAACCGACGAATATTCTGAAATCTGCGCCTTGCAAGCCATGCACGGGCATATTTCTGAAGGATTACAGCCTTGTGTTCTTCAAGCATCTATAAAAGAAAAAAAGAAAAAATTAACATCTGTCTGTAATTATCTGTGGACCAATCAGCATCAATTAAAATGTTCTGTGAATCTACATACACTGGTGATAACAATGCTGCTACCAGAATAATCCAAATACACGTGCAGTCCAGATTTTTCAGTATTTGAACCACTGTAATAGTTGCATTATGTGATCTCCAACAAGCATAAATTACTCTCAGACTAGATCTATGCTATTGTGTATCATTATATTAACAATAATAGAATACCAATACACTAGAAGGTCTGAGAACAATACATGCAAAAGGTAAAGCATTACATACCATTAAGCCCCCTTATCTCCATCTTTCTTATGCTGCAATAATTGTTTCCAGTTATTGAAATCAAATTTTTATTAGCCGTACCTTCCGATATTTTTTCCTTGCTAGAAATCCTCTTGTATAAGCTTGGATTGTTACAGCAGCCACATGGATGAGCTGGCAAAGTTTTCGAACCAGGTAACCCCGACAGTGCTTCTGAATAACTATAGCTGCCCAGGTTTGCTTCAGAGTTCTTGCACTTATCGTTTGCCTTAATTCAAGAGACAATAAAGTTTACTTAGGTCACATTAGCTTTCTCTTCCTTGTTCGCTCAGTTAGCCAAACAACCAAAAAGTAGTTTGGTTCATGTAGAAATAACTATTTCAGCTAAATACACATGGTATTATGGTATCACTTTCATGGTAACACTGGAAATGCAAATACTTCATGATAATATAAGCGATGTATCGACCACATAACAAGATGAAAGTGCAGCTGGGACCAAAATGAGGTATATTCCCCTATGGCGTGTTTACAGAATGCGTATTTCATTTAGACTTTTTCCTCCAGGAATGAATCAATATACCGAGCCAAAGCTCAAACCAAGTGCTAGGAGGCCATGGTCAGTCCTAGCTCATGACTAAAAGTCATGAAAGGTGCTAATTAAATCCTGAATGACGGGGGAGCATCTTCTGGGAGCACCTCAAGGGTCTTGCATTTGAGCCCTCTTCTGCCACATGCTGCAACTGAATTTCATGGAAAGTGATAGCTAGGAAGGCTGGAATGTCCTCCTTAGAGCACAGTAGCATAGTATGCACTTATCAGCTACAAAATCTGATTTCCTGGTCTTTGCTTTTATTGTGCATGAAATCTCATGGAAACAGAAAGTGCAGGGTACTTGACCTCAGTAAACTCATACTCTATTTTATTTCATCTTAACTGCCTTACATAACCCTGGCAATAGGAAAGTGCTCGCTCTGCTTCAGTGTAATAACTTCTACAGGCAGAAGATATTGGGAAATGGCACCCATTATCTAAAAGACAAATTTCTCTGCAATTAATGTTTTTTTCACAAGCAAGTGCTCTAATGGTCTTTTTCTGAAATGTTCAAAGCCTAGACAGTCACCTTCTTCTCAGCCTGCTCTACGAACACTTCCAAATTAGCGCTGGGCACGAGTCTGACCTCCTATGCATCTCCAGGTGTCCCTAACAGCAACATGATTTATTTGCCAAAAGTACCGTACAGTCCGCTGCCCACGGAAGTACTGCTGTATTGTAATAGCTGCTTGTTTTATGAGAAGGAATTTTTTCCGTTGCAGCCAGCCTCTAACACTCTTTTGGATCGTGATGCAGGCATGTCTCAGTTTATCTGATCGCAGTTTTTCCAAGTAAGCAACCTGTCCTGCTCTGAAGAAGATTTTTGTTCTCCCAAATTGGTATTGGTTAGGATCCTGAAAAAGAAAACAATAGGTATATAAAGGGTTTTTTTTCTTTATTTTTGTTTAGCAGACACTTCTCCCTTGCATAAACCATCCCTTCAGCCAAGAAATATTCAAATGACATGATCTTGCTAAAGAAGGGCATTCTCTCTGCCTCCTTTATAGATAAGTGTATAGGGAGTAAAAACCACAAAACAGGAAAAAAAAACCCCAAAAAACCAGATAACGGCACCTAAACCTCTAACTCAGTGATCTAATATTAAAAGGAGGATCTGGCCTTATTGTCAGGACCATTAATGCAACCTCTTCACCTGTTCTTCATCCATTTGGCTCATACCATTCCATTCCATTCTACCATTCCATTTAGCTCAGTACTAACTTCAGGTCCAGCCTTTAATCAGTGAGTTGTGGAAGAAAAAGCTTTGGGAAGCAGCGGTCTGCGAGCTGTCTTTCAGGAGCTACTTTGAAGCTCAGACACTTGTCCTGGGAGGTTTGTAGAGGTCAGTACTAGGGTCTCTGCAGCTACTATCCTTAGCATATACAAACTTAAAATACCTGGAAAAATTATACCATTTCTTATGCATTGATTTGTAAAGATAGCTAGAATATCTTCTATTTTATTCGTGATCATATTAATCAGAGGGAGGTTAAATGATCTGTATATGGTCACTTTACAAATGAATGTCACATGAAGAACCACTTAAGATTACTGAATCACAACACACCAGAACAGGAAAGACACATTAAAGGTGTTGGTCCAGCAATAAGACAAATATAATGTTATCTTTCTTATTTACGGAGTGATATAATACAGTTTGGAGAAGAGACTTTTCATTGGTAATAGATGTTATTACACAAAATGGATCAGTGCATATAAACTAACCTGGATTAGCCGCTGCAAAACAGTCTTGCAAATCTGCTTCTTATCATTTATGGAGAGTTCTTGCTGTGTCATTAAAATGCTGTATCGGCTGAAAAACTCAATGTAAGTCCACCTGGAAAATTAAAAGTTGGCAAATCTTGCTTATGTAGAAGAGACTTAAATATATTTTTTTCACATACAAAGGCCTACTGCTGGCCTTACCTGGATGGATAGCTCTGTGCACTAATTCGAATAGTTTCCAAAACACCACATGCTCGTAGTTGTTGAGCCACCCTTTTTGAGTCAAACCTGAAAAAATAGAGTTATAGATTATATTTTTGCCAGGTTTGGCAAGCTATTCAAAATTATAACTATTATACTAGCTGGATTTATGTTTTTGCCTCTAGGGCACAGGGCTCCCAATTTTTTAAATGATGTATACTCGTTTTTTGTTTATTTTTTCAATATGTAATGGAGACT